GGGCTCACCCTTCTCATTTTATAGGAAGGTCCAAAGTAGGGTGTAACTTGTTCAAGGTTACACAGTGAGACTAATAAGCTCACATGAGAACTCAGGGCTTGCCTGGAGTCTCCACTCATGGAGCATCTGAAAGGTTGTACAGACTTGAGTGGGCCTGTGACATACCAATCTTGGTGTTCTGGTATCCCTCACAGCAGTTAGCAATAGACGGGCTCAAGAGTTGTTTATTGAACGAATGAGTTCATGGATGTGAATGGCATTCAGAAGAATGTTTAGGAAGAGAGTTCTGAAGGATTCTGCGTAACTTGCAAAGAAGATGGGGACTGGGGGACAGCATAAGCAAAGGCTTGGCGATGGGAAAGAACAGGGAAAACACCTTGGCAGTGTGAAGAGAGATGGGAAACGTGGGCTAGAGAGGGACACTGAACCGCAGCCACAAGAAATGTGGACTTTGGACTTGATGGAGAAAACATTCTCGCTCAGTCAGTAGCTTCCAGGTCTGGGTAGGAAATGGAGGATGGAGGAGGTAGTCCTTCCACTTGGAATGGCCAATAAGAAGTAAAGGAAGGGAGATGTCTGTGTAAGGGAGGAGCTGATTGGCTGAGGCAGCTGCCATAGCAGTAGCTGCTTCCTGCGAGGGACTAGGGTATACTGGGGCACTCACCTGGTTGTACCAGTGCTTCACCAGCAAGATCAGGTTCTTTAGCTTGGCCGGGCGAGTATTTACGAAGTTCCTGCGCAGTTCTGCGAAACAGGCCGCATGCTCGCCCCCGTGGCAGCTGTTGTTGATGAGGGTGGGATAGACGTGGGGCTTGGGTTTGGTGCCAGAGCTGAGTTTCCCTGTGGAAGTTTGAAACACTTAGTGTACAACTGTACTTGAAGATTACTCCAGTCCTATTAATACCAGACAAAAGGCTTTAAGACAAGTAGAATTTTTAGGAATAAAGAAGATTATTACTTAATGATAAAAGGAACAACCCAACAAAAATGTGTTATGTTCTTAATAACACAGTTTAAAAATATTAAAAGCAAAACTTGCCAAAATTATAAGGAGAGATGGACAAATTACATTCAGAGCAGATTTTAAGATTATCTCACTTAGAAATTGATACACTAAGCAAGCAAATAATTAGCAAATAATACTAAATTAATAATAAGTTAGATCTACAGGACCTACTATATAAAAGCTTGCATTTAACAGTCCATTTTTTAAAGTCATAGGCAACCTAGGAAGTCTCAACAAATCCCACATGAGCTACATTCTCTGACTACATATTGAAAAAAAGATACCAGATACCAAAAGCAACACAGGAAAAAACCCCCACCACATTCACTTAGAAATCCACTTCCAAATATTCATGGGTCAAAGAGCAAATCATAATGTCAAATTAAAAGTACAAAATAATTAGACCTGAGAGATAATAAAAATTAAATACAACAGAATGTATACTATGCAGCTAAAGTAGCACTGTGAGGAAAATGTATAGCCTTCATTGCATTTATTAAGATTATCAAGGAGCTCTGGAAGCATAGTAGCTAAGGCACTTGACTGCTAGCCAGAAGGCTGG